TACTGCGCATGAAGCAAAAAATTAGAATCCTCATAAAGGTCGTTAGAATGGAGAGTGGCATCAATACATTTATACGTATATAACTCTAACTAAATACAATACATATTTTCTAGATTAATTTGGGTAGAAACCTTATTATTTTCTAATTTTCTTCCGCGGAAAGCATATCTAGTCACCTACACGAGTTATTCAAAAAAGCACGGTAAGAAAAGTAATGTAATATTAAATATTGTAATTTGTTTTAAATCATTTTCAGCTTATGCCAATTGCCCAGTATCTTCGTGTCTTAATATTTCAGGTAGACAAAATGCAATGAATGCAGTAATCAATGATATCCTTGCAGATCTGGGTAAAATGACTTCAAGAATATATCCATGTCAATTTCACAAAACGCAATTGAAAGAATTTTTATTATGATCGCCGAATAATTGAATCAATATAAATCGATATATTTATGTATAAGAATAAATATATACCTATTACATTATATATTATATTATATATATTATATTATATTTATATTAAAGAGTACATTTTCTTTTTCTTCAGAATCACTATAGTTTAGTTCTTCCGTGAACTGATTATTACCCAATAATACGTCAAAAACTTGGGTCCAAGTTATCGAAAAAAAACCGAGTTTTTTTCTTTTTACCGCAAAAACGTTGGTGTCATCAGAAAGATCATACAGTAATGTACTGAATACTAAAATTTGAGAACATTTGTATGGACAGTTAATAAGAAACCATCCTCTAAATATTAAGTACTTTTCTCAATGGTAACCTGATCTTGATTCGTATAATAGCCCCTTTTATGTCTCTTACATAGATTTTTTTGCTTCATTCTGTCTTGACATTCATTTATCCATTAGATATTATATTTCATTTTACAACTTATGTTTCAGAATTACAATTATTGAGTTTTTTTGCGCTCTTATTATTACGCAATAATACGTCAAAAATGGAAGCCGAATGTATCGCAAAAACGCTCGTTTTTTTTCTTTTTACCGCAAAAACGTAGGTGTCATTAGAAAGATCGTACAGTAATGTACTGAATGCTAAAATTTGAGAACATTTGTATGCACAGTTAATAAGAAACCATCCTCTAAATATTAAGTACTTTTCTCAATTGTAACCTGATCTTGATTTTCATATAATAGCCCCTTATATATCTCTTACATAGATTTTTTTGCTTCATTCTGTCTTGACATTCATTTATCCATCGGAAATTATATTTCATTTTACAACTTATGTTTCAGAATTACAATAGTTTAGTTTTTCTGCGCTCTTATTATTACGCAATAATACGTCAAAAATGGAAGCCGAATGTATCGCAAAAACGCTCGTTTTTGTTTTTTTTACCGCAAAAACGTAGGTGTCATTAGAAAGATCGTACAGTAATGTACTGAATGCTAAAATTTGAAAACATTTGTATGCACAGTTAATAAGAAACCATCCTCTAAATATTAAGTACTTTTCTCAATTGTAACCTGATCTTGATTTTCGTATAATAGCGCCTTATATATGTCTTACATGGATTTTTTCGCTTCATTCTATCTTGACATTCATTTACCCATTGGAAAGTATATTTAATATTACAACTTATGTTTCAGAATTACAATAGTTTAGTTTTTCTGCGCTCTTATTATTACGCAATAATACGTCAAAAATGGAAGCCGAATGTATCGCAAAAACGATCGTTTTTTTTCTTTTTACCGCAAAAACGTAGGTGTCATTAGAAAGATCGTACAGTAATGTACTGAATGCTAAAATTTGAGAACATTTGTATGCACAGTTAATAAGAAATCATCCTCTAAATATCAAGTACTTTTCTCAATTGTAACCTGATCTTGATTCGTATAATATCACCTTATATATGTCTTACATGGATTTCTTCGCTTCATTCTGTCTTGAAATTCATTTATCCATCGGAAATTATATTTCATTTTACAACTTATGTTTCAGAATTACAATAGTTTAGTTTTCTGCGCTCTTATTATTACGCAATAATACGTCAAAAATGGAAGCCGAATGTATCGCAAAAACGCTCGTTTTTTTCTTTTTACCGCAAAAACGTTGGTGTCATTAGAAAGATCGTACAGTAATGTACTGAATGCTAAAATTTGAGAACATTTGTATGCACAGTTAATAAGAAATCATCCTCTAAATATTAAGTACTTTTCTCAATTGTAACCTGATCTTGATTCGTATAATATCACCTTATATATGTCTTACATGGATTTTTTCGCTTCATTCTGTCTTGAAATTCATTTATCCATCGGAAATTATATTTCATTTTACAACTTATGTTTCAGAATTACAATAGTTTAGTTTTTCTGCGCTCTTATTATTACGCAATAATACGTCAAAAATGGAAGCCGAATGTATCGCAAAAACGCTCGTTTTTTTTCTTTTTACCGCAAAAACGTTGGTGTCATTAGAAAGATCGTACAGTAATGTACTGAATGCTAAAATTTGAGAACATTTGTATGCACAGTTAATAAGAAATCCTCCTCTAAATATCAAGTACTTTTCTCAATTGTAACCTGATCTTGATTCGTATAATACCGTCTTATATATGTCTTACATGGATTTTTTCGCTTCATTCTGTCTTGACATTCATTTACCCATTGGAAAGTATATTTAATATTACAACTTATGTTTCAGAATTACAATAGTTTAGTTTTTCTGCGCTCTTATTATTACGCAATAATACGTCAAAAATGGAAGCCGAATGTATCGCAAAAACGCTCGTTTTTTTTCTTTTTACCGCAAAAACGTAGGTGTCATTAGAAAGATCGTACAGTAATGTACTGAATGCTAAAATTTGAGAACATTTGTATGCACAGTTAATAAGAACCAACCTCTAAATATTAAGTACTTTTCTCAATTGTAACCTGATCTTGATTCGTATAAAGCGCCTATATACGTGTGAAAGTTGCGCCGAGTTTAACTTGTAATCCTAAACCTCGTTGGACCATTGTTTGTCATATGGCAATAGTACGTTTGATTTGTATGCACATCTACGCTAATTCTTGTTGTAGCAAATGACTTTGGCAAATTGTAACATTGATAGCGTCGGTGAGAGGATCATATACTAGTTAAGTCTTTTGTATTTATATCATAAGGACATTTTTAATTTGAGAAAGGAAGCAAATAATCCCGAGTATGTTGTGACTGTGCAGCCCAACGATGCACGCCATTTGTAAGGCCGTATTTTTCTGTAAAATATAGACGTATACACAGGAATTGAAATAAAACATTATAGTGTATGCCATATCTATGCGGGTCAATCACTTCTCACACAGTGCCCAAAAATAATAATCAATTTACTCTGTAAATCTGTATAAAATCGACTGCTTTGTTCTAATTACAGTCTAGCAATGCATAAATAAGCTATACATCTTCGTAATTTTAAAGTTTAAACGAAAAAATGGCTAAAAAACCTGTTATTATTAAATGACCAAATTCTACTTTTGAATGATTGAACACAGTTGAATGTGAGGCCCAATCTGAGGCCCAATCTGAGGCCGAATCTGAGGCCGAATCCGCGGCTAACTTCACAGTGGTATATCTACAACAGCTATATAGGCCATAGCCATGTCCCGTCTCTGTATAGTGTAGGCTGTATAAACACAAATCATATTGCAGTTTTCTTGAACGAGATTTAAGCAAGGAATCAAATTAAGTGTCATAATAATTAAATCTGTCTTGGAGATTTGTGCTTACAAAACTATAGTCGAGTTTGATTTCATCTTGCTCGAAACTTAGGTAGTAATCTGCTTACGGACCGAGTTCAGTATCCATACTCTAATGTGGACCTGTGTTGTCTAACTTACTGTTTTCCAGCATATTTTGGTTGTGAAAGTCTTAAAATCAGTTATTAAAACTGCATAATGAGTTTCGAAATGTTTGTCATATGATAATACAATACACGAAGTGTTGTCATAGTAAATATAACAACCGCGTGAATCGGTGAGTGTGACCTCATAGTTGCTGCCTGGTGTGTCTACCATGGCAACCACTCTCGATAATATAATTATACAATTGTGTTCAACATGTCTCAAAACGGCCAAAAGTCGCCCTTTTTTCGCATTCACTGCGAGACATCAAAAACTGAAAGCTTAGAATGTAAATGACAAACTAAGAAGGGCAGTGGATGGCTAATTCCGGTTCTCAATAAATCAATGTCATATTTAAGCCGATTCTCCATTACGTCGCTCCCACCCCCCAGCGGGCGAAGAGTTTCAAAAGCCGCTTCTAACTTCGCCCGCGCGGGTGAAACGGACGGTAATGGAGAAACGTCTTTTGTCGACAAGAGACGTCCTCGTGTGATGACATGTAATAATGGTCATTGACCCGTCTTTGCTTGAAATATTTAAGAAATAAATAATGTCAAAAGACGTGTTACTTGTTAGCCAAACTATACCAGTGAATAGGTAATATGTAATGTAATAGTTTTAAAAAGGCAATGGGGAGCATCGCCATGTCCAAACACTGGGCACAAACACTGGACACCAGTGTTTATCCACAGGAGACTTAAAAAGCTTTTATACACAGTTTGGTATTATAAACTACAAAAAAACTGTGAAATTTACCTGTATTATATCTTTTTTCTGTATATGTGAACTCGCAACAGACGAGGAACCACCTGCAAAATTAAAAATGTTTATTCAAATTTTGTTTTTAAAAATTCATACGAGTATCTGGTGCAGATTTTAAGCGATTATTTTGTTATACAGACTGCATTCTTATTCTACTATCATTCGATGAAACTGGAAATCAAAACTTGTAACCTTTCCAAAATTCTCACCGAAAAACACTCATGCATGCATAACCGTTATAAAAATCTCCACTGCAATTGCAATGTCAATGAATATAAATAATTAAAATTATAAAAACAATTGCGAATGACGTTATATTTTTGGAGACGAATAGGTGAATGATAAAACTAAAAGCAATTAATAAGGCCTTTTAAACGGCTGAAGAAAAAACAAACGTTCATAGTTGGAAACGGATTGTAAACATTAAAACGTAGTTCTTTAAGCTCTGTTTGTTCCTTGCTGTCATTTTGTTATTTATCATTTTCAACCGTGATCCGCGCTTCCTAAATTGGCATACGGGACTGTCTCGTCTAGATCAGTATAACTACATTCTGTGGGAGGTTAAAAGATCGAGGATAACAGACAAGTTTCATTAGACATTTTCACGCTTTTGTCAACAACTATATTTCTCATTGGAGTACATAAAACTCGTCGTTAAGTGGTCAGGTATGATTGTTGAGCATCGTGTTCATATGCTCTAAAGCATCTTTATTTCTATAGCGTTCTAAAATCTAACTTTGCCGCCTTCGAGGAATCTTTAAATTTCGTGTTCGTGACTGTAAGTTTAGTTCATAGTCTCTATAGTAACGCACGAGAGGTTCGCGTTTAAAACATCGGCTTGAAGGCAAATCGAATTTACCATGGCAAGCATGTAATTTCGTAATAATATAATTTGATAAATGCATGAGGAATTTTAAATGGCATCCATGACCATGACAATCTTAACAATTCGATAATTTCAAGAAACGTATTCTCACCTTTCTTTTTTAAAATCGATTATTTTTACGCTCATTGGACATAACAATAGCCAAATGTTTCAATTGCTATGGCCGGGTAAACTTAAGACAACGTATGTGTAATAAATCTTTCAGTTTACAACAGCCTAAAGTATGACTAAGGATTATGTTTTGCTGTCTCTATAGTTTCAGAAGCATAGTAATAGGGATTATGGACATCGCATTTCACAAACTTCTGTGCCCGTTTGTCGGTCAATTGACCTTGAGTCCTTTTGTAGACGAGGTCTGCGGTATGAAAAAATACGAAACGGAATTTTAACGTGCCGTAATGCATTATATATTTTAACAACTCAATTTTTACATATAGAAAGAAGGAGTTATTAAGCTATCTAACAATGCATTTTTTATGTCATAATGGCTAGAAATGACTAAATAATCGTGTGTTCAAAATTTGCTATTCAAAAAACCAGGTTCTTCCACAGTTTGGAATAGAATGGGCATTCTTTTTGTACAGACATATAAAATGTAGAAAGTTAAAGTATCATTTTTTGGGAAAGCTAAATGAATTTTCTATCTGAGTACATCAGAGCCAAATCATTAAATTTAATACAATTATTCTTCACAGAAAAGACTGTTTCCATTGCGCATGTTTAATCATGTATCTTATAGATAGAACGATAACTAGGTGATGCCAATAATATATGTTCGTATTCGCCTGTAGCAAAAATGCAGAATTCCGAGTTATGAACTGAAATAACACTCTTAAATACTGAGGTTTTCTCCTCACATCTCTCATGACTTGTCGAGATAGGAATTTATGCTTCAGTACTTAAATAAAATATATAATAAATAAAATGTTTGTATGCAAATAACTTAGATATGTAATGTATCCTAACTACGAATAACTTTGATATGTATCCTAACTACGAATAACTTAGATATGTATTCTAACTACGAATATGTATCCGAACTAGATATTAAGTTGTTCTGGTCATCTCTTGTCACCTCAAATTACCGGGTTCATTATCATTTTTTTCAAACTGACAATCAGTTCAATTTTTAGATGTACAACGCAGGAGTTGAGCCGGAGAAAGGTGGAGCGACTGCCCCCTATTACAACCCCCAACCCGAAAACCAGGATATGTCCACCCCCATTCAACCTTTCCCCTCACCTCAACCTGGTCCACCTGGTTACCCTCAACAACCCATGCAGCCATATCCCCCCGCGCCAATGCAACAACAACCGGGAGGTTATAACACCACCAACACAACCAACACAACAGTTGTGATTCAACAGCAACCAACTGCGGTCGTTATTCAAGGTCCTAGAGATTGGAGCTCTGGGTTATGTGCCTGCTTTGATGACTGTGGAGTGTGTAAGTTAGGGGAAGGGTGGGAAGGGTGGGGCAGGGGTCATTGTTTAAGGTTCAAGGTTGTAAGCGAGGGACAAGGGTAGAGTTGGTTATTCAAGACACTAGAGGGTGGACCTCTGTCGAAGGTCTTAGGGTGAGACACTGGGATATCTGCTTTGATGACTGTGGAGTGTGTAAGTCAGGGGAAGGGTGGAAAGGGTGAAGGGGGGGTGTTATTGTTTAAGGTTCAAGGTTGTAAGTGAGGGACAAGGGTAGAGTTGGTTATTCAAGACACAAGAGGGTGGACCCCTGTCGAAGGTCCTAGGGTGAGACACTGGGATATCTGCTTTGATTACTGCATTTGTGGAGTTGTGGGTGTGTAATTGACGCGGGAAAAGGGGCAGGAAGTGGGTCTGTGGTGGGGTTGAAGAGCAGTTGATGTCAACTTTTGAACCAGAAAAGCTCTTTAAGTGTGTATGTCGACCAGAACAAAGAATTAACTGTAACATTCATTTTCCTTCCCAGGCCTCGTTGGGCTGTGTTCTTGCATGTGTGGGATGCCTGTCATTGAATGCCAGGTCAGCGGCGCTGCTGGAGAGTGTTGCTGTGTCGGAGTGTGCTGTCCGATTGCCCTGCGGACGAAGATACGAACGAGACACAACATTCAGGTATAATTCCACCCTGCCATATAACGTAATCCTCTTTCTCAATAACTTCCTTCCCAATTTCCCAATCGTTTTCTTTCTTCATTTCACAGGGAGGCATCATTGACGATTGCTGTGCTCTGGCATTTTGCCATTACTGCGCTTTTTGCCAAATGCAACGAGAAATTAACATGCATGGAATGTGAAATACGAAGCAGCTCTCATGAAACATTTGCACTTTGGACGATCAAATCATTTACGCGTATCATTTTAAATCATATATAACCTTATATAACATAATGTAATTTTATAAGTTGGTAAGAAAGCATGAAAACTTGTATGTAGTCGTAGATAGCTACTTCTCGTAGTTTATTTTACGTTGCATAATCATAGAGCATTTTCCTTTATACGGTAAAAACGGTCAGACCGGTCCTGTTTATTTTGGTACAGACGGATTACTGGTATTTTAGAGTGTTTCAAGAACTCTGCATTCAAGTTATTATCGTTATTTACATCAGCCTAGCACGGGAAATGCAGTTCCACCGGTGAAATACTGTATTTCAATTCAAAATACAACCGGTCTGACCATTTCGGTCGCTTAAAGGAAAGCGCCCATATAGAGACGAAAACTCTGAATATACATCGTATGCTTTGGTTATAATTCTTAGCAGTTATTTAGTTTACTGATAATTAAAAGTAATTTCGTTTTCCTTAATGTTTAGATCATACTTCACTGGTTATAAGCGCTTTACTATACACTGCAAATCACATATCTTGATCACAAGTGATCTACAGAACTCGACGTGATATTTGATAAAAACACTTCGGCACACAGCCTCAGCTTCGAGATCGAGTTTTTGACAGAGATTTTCTTCCCCTGGCGTATATATGCTGTTGAGTAAATCTAACGGGCTAGACTACTGTATTTCGCCAAGCTTATCACAACTTTGCCTACACAACAACACTTAAAATTAAGACTCCGACAGAGCAACAGATTTAAATTACACGCTTCGACTCTTAAATTAAACTCCTGCATAAAGCTTTGCATATTATATAATAGAAGGAGGGCATTTATAACATTTGAATGCACACGAACACAGTGAAACACATACCTACACAAGACGACACCTTCACCGCAAGTATAATACGTCAGTGAACATCTCAAAAATCACAAGACCGAATTGTGTTGTATACTCTGAATACACGAAACGAGGTGAGTGGCATATCGATTTAATGTCTAAATCTGTTTGGATTTTTGTCAAAAGTGAATAGCAGGGAATGAGCAATTTAGAAATCTTGTAGAATATACGATTATATACAATACAATAGACTACTACAGCATATAAACTGTCATCGCTGGGTTAAACTAATGATGACAATAAGTGGAAAATGTAAGCTATCTAAAAAAAATGGCCTTTGATGCTTCAAAAAGACTGACAAGTCTGATCGTGTACATTTTTCGGCTGGATTAAGACTTTCGAAACATCTTTATAATCCGAAGTTAATTGGGCAGTTTAATGTGTGAATATTTTTGTATGAAATACCACACTGATAAGACTCCCTGTGGGAACTGAAAGTGAATTCCAGGAATGGGACAATGGAGTGAGATCACGCAATAGATACCTCGCGTGTCTGTCTCTTGATTTCTCTCAGTATCTTCACTAAATTCGTTGAGAAGATAATCCAAAAACTTTGTATAAAGTGAGGTCTGTCTGAAAGTGAGCAATATAAAGCAACAGGCGCGTTCTCTATCGTAAGAGCAAATGTTTTATTATAATTTTATAATGATAATAAGTGCTTTAGTTGCATCGCTTCCTCATAAACAATAACACGACACAAACGTATGCATAAAATACTCCATACGCTATAAACAAATTTATTAGTCTTGGTCTATAGGTGTTCTACATTTTACTTCATTTCAAAATCCTATTCTTCCAATATTCCAACAGTATCATTTAACACAGATTTTGGAAAGTTAAACCAATAATGAACAACAAAAATGTGACACGTCACTGCATGCTAGAAATTTCTCGCTAAAGTCTAAACTGCGAGAACTGAGCAGCAATACAACGATATTAAAAGAATTTGACCGCTTTCTGAAGGGATTTACAAGCCAAAAGTGTTGACAGTTTACAGTAAAAAGATGACGGAAAATCTAGCTTTCATAACTAAATAATAAAATGGCTAAAGTATATTTCAGCATGCAGCGATATTTTTAGCCGGAGTTTCAGTATTCAGTCCTTAAAATCGGATTCGCTGACATTTGGGTTTCCATATCTTCGGTGGATCTAACTGTCTTCACGGGTCATTTTCTGGGGGGTTCTCAAATACCACACCATAAACGTGCTTTTGACATTTCCCTGATATAAAATTTAATTGCCAGATGTACAACGCTGGAAGCGATCATGGAAAGGCTGGTATGGCTCCCTATTACCCACCGGCAACCGATGGGCCACCACAACCTGGCTCACCACTTGGTTATCCCCCACAACCCATGCAGCCATATCCCCCCGGTCCCCCCGTGCCAATGCAACAGCAACCTGGAGGTTACAACACCACCAACACGACCAACACAACAGTCGTGATTCAACAGCAACCAGCTGCGGTCGTTGTTCAAGGTCCTAGAGATTGGAGCTCTGGGTTATGTGCCTGCTTTGATGACTGTGGAGTGTGTAAGTTAGGGGAAGAGAGGAAGAGGGCAGAGGGAAGGGGGGTGAGTTCTAGAGGGTGGAACACTGGATTATGTTCCAACCACCAAGCTCCCCTTTCCCCCTTCCTACAGCCCTTTGCTGAAACACTATCATAACACTGTCTTTCTTTCATGAGCTACAGTTATTTATTATCAACTCCGATTTTACTTGTTTTTCCACTCCAGGCATGGTTGGTCTGTGTTCTTGCATGTGTGGTCTACCAATCATTGAATGCCAGGTCAGCGGCGCTGCTGGGGAGTGTTGCTGTGTTGGAATCTACTGTCCGATTGCCCTGCGGACGAAGATACGAACGAGACACAACATTCAGGTAATTCAACCCTGCCATCATCCTCGTCCCCAAGGCCTAGCTCCGTTGCTCTCCACAACGGAGCTAGGCCCTGGGGACGAGGATGCCCTGCCATATACATATATCAGTATAATTTACATACCCACTGATTAAAAGGATAGTTAATCGATACTCCACGAGATAAGAAAGAGTTCGTGTATGTGGAAGAGTTAATTTGAAGGAAACCAACTTTATCGTTGCATGGTTATGAAAATGATCTTTATTACCCAGCAAATGCCTTTTTCCGATGGAGCTAAAAGTATATAGCTTCCATCAGATAACATCTTTTCGAACTAGTTTAGTAAAGTAGATGTACTGAGGATCGAGAGGGACACTCCAAAAGTGGTTGACAAGAAGATGGCTCCCGTTAACTCCAATTATTTCAGATGCATGATTCATAATTCGCTGACATTTGCCCAACAAAAACTAAGTACATGCTATAGATTCTCTTCAATTGACGTATTTGCCAAACACGAGATGGTGCAACTGAAAACATAGGCAGCCCAAATATGGAATTTGTGATATTTTGAACGCGAGAAATTTTCGCCAATTTGTCAACATATTGTAATAATTACACTTCCTCGGCTGAAACTGGCTTCCTTTTCAAACGTAAGGTCTGTTCACACAATCCAATTTTGTCAGATCTAGTTCACTTCTGATGTGTGTTTTATAGTCTGTGTTGATTTGCTACGCAAATGGGCAACAAATCAACTTAGTACTGCTTTATCAATAACCTGACTTCATTCCATACGTCAGAAACGAATTGGCTCCAACAAAATTAGATCGCCTGAACAGACCTGTATATTCTAATTTTTCTGCTTAATATAGGGAGGAATCGTTGGAGATTGCTGTGCCGTGTTCTTCTGTCATTATTGTGCTTTTTGCCAAATGCAACGAGAAATAAACATGAGTGGAATGTGAAATCTGAAGCAACACTCCTAAAAACTTATGCACTAGTCGGTCAAATAAGCATTTTAATTCATATATAATCTTATTTAATACAATGTATTAATATAATTTGGTGGGGAGACAAGAGAACTCGCATGTAGTTGTGTAGATAACGATCTCTCATTTTGCCAAATTATTTACACGTATCAATTTTCCCTCGTGTATAAGTAATACAACCGAATATAACATGCACAATATATAATTTGTTATGAAGCATCACCATAAAACTGATTTAGAAATAATTTATATTATGTGAACAGGCTGTTTAAAAGGATAATGAAACATAAAGTAAATTTCAGTTACACGACCACTTCCTTCCTTCACTGCCAACTTTATGCAAGTTAATCGGCCTAAATCTGGTGGTATTTTCATTAACATCTTCTTAATCAGCTTAAATCTGGTGCTATTTTCTTAAATCTGGTGCTATTTTTTATCAAAATCATCTTGATCGGCCTGAAACAGGTGGTCATGATTTTTGTGGACATCACCTTTAATCGAGTTAAATCTGGTGGTATTTTCACAACACGATCTCAATCAGCTTATATCTGGTGATATTTTCATCAACATCATCATCAACACCATAATTTATATTTGAACAGGCTGTTTGAAAGGATAATGAAACATAAAGTAAATTTTAGTTAGACGACCACTTCCTTCCTGCACTGCTAACTTTATGCAAGTTAATCGGCCTAAATCTGGTATTTTCATCAACATCTTCTTAATCAACTTAAATCTGGTGGTATTTTCTTCAAAATCATCTCAATCGGTTTAAATCTGGTGGTATTTTCATCAACATCATTTAGTGTTTTCGCTTGACTTGAAAAACCATTGTATGACCTGCAGAAAGATATGAACTATCGCACTGATTGATTATAGTTCAATTAACTGTCGATATTCACAAAGGCAAGTTCGATTTTAAAACAAGATTTTCAACCAAAATCAGGTTCGTTCCTTTGAAAGATACAATTCACATTGTAATCTGAAAGACCAAAGGTGATTTCTTTGACACGCCATGAAAATATTGTATTAAAATTACATTTTCTGCAATCTTTTCTTGCAATGCATAAGCTTTCCTTGTTTGTTTTAGTTTAACTTGGTGGAACTGGATGATTCTTCTTGTATTTACTATTAAACGCGATTCTGGTCTTTCTTTTTCAGTTGTGTCCCGGTCGGTAAACATTTGGCAGGTAACAATTGGCAGAAATGATGGAGTGTCGATTTGTGTGGATTTTCTTTGTTACCTTTCTTCATTTCACTTCCCACGGGGCACCTGGTGAAAGTGTTTCCCGTCCCTTTAAACGACACGCTTTCGTGGAAATTCGGGGGAGATTCAATCAGTTTTCGCGCAATGCATCAGAAGTACATGATAATGAATACAAGGAAATCGAAGCAGATGAAACTGGAAAGCTGGATAGCGAAAAACCAGAAACAGAAGAAGGAAACAGGCACTTGTTTCGTAAAAAGCAAGTTAAATTGGAGCATAAAACGCAAGGGAAGAAGAATGAAATAAGAAATCTAGATGATAAAAACGTGTACAACAAAAGACAAGGAGATAAGGAGAATGGAATTGAGATGCAAAAAAACGGACAGAAAGATGACAAAAAGTTGGTTGACCAAAAAAGTAGAACCCAAAAGTTAAAACAACTGAAAGACGAGAACAAAACCAGGAAGAAAGAGTGTAATAAGAACCTAAATCAACACAATGACGGACTTCGTCATGAAATACGAAATGCCTGCAAAAAGCAGAAAAGAAAAATTTGGAAACAAAGAAAACAACATAATCTTAATGGAACAAAACAAACACACGACGAGAGAAGTGAGAAACAATATAGTGGAACAAGACACAGCACAATACAAAATACCAACATATTGCACACTAAGTCTTTCACTATACCACCCACTCAATGCACGAAGAGAAATGGGAATGATTATAGGAATCATGTATATTCCTGTATGATGAATGCAATGCTGGAGGATAAGATTAAAGAAAAATGGAAGTCGTTGATTACTTCTCTCGTAATTACTCAAACTGATGATATCCCTTTTAAAACAGTTACTTTTACTCCATCGGTATTTACTTTAGAACGAGTGTTTTTTTACCTAAGGTATTTTACGATACTCTACAATGACGGCAATGCTGTAATGTTTTCGATACCAGTAGATGGGAAACGCTTTGACTTATTATTGAAAAATGAAGGCGGCATTTTAAGTGCCGAACATATCTATGAAAGAGTAAAAAGACCTGGCGGTATGGAAATAGAGGATCCGAGCGAAGAGGATATTTTTGCGGTGAAACCGGTTGTTACATCCAATTACAACGCGATAAAAGATATGGTATTTAACTTAATCATTGAACTGCTTAAATCAACACTTAATACTAAAGGCATATTCAAACAACTGAAAGATACATTTCCAGAGATAAATGATATTATTATTGACAATGTGTTTAAAGAAATGATTGAAATTACTGCAGCATGTTTTCTCAAGGATAATATTTTGTATCAAGAAGAATGGCTAAATTTTCTAAAAAAAACAATCAATGATAAAAAAAAAATAAAAAATTTTGAAGAAGGGATAAAAAATGACGCTACCACGAAAGTGAAGTACGAGTTGACAGCGAACATGCTCAAAACAGCCGATGAAGCAAAACAAAATTGGGAAAACTTACTTAAATCCAACGATTTTACCGTAACCACGGACAGTAAAAGTGGACAGGTGACAGTTCAGTTCAGTAAATATTCAAATATAAAATTGAAATGTGCATTAAAACTACTGCAATATATTCTAGGCTTCTACTTTCACCCAGACTCAAAAAAACCACAACAAAAAAAGCATGTAGCCATTAAAATCCCAATTGGAAAACTAAACGCGGTGTTTAAACTAGGACCTGGTCGTGGCAATGCGGCTTACCAAATTCTTGTGAATACAAAAAAGGCTGATTATCCTGGTACTGCTTCGAGAGGAAGGGGCGCGAGCAAGTATGAAGACTTCGTCGACAAACTCCTCAACTCGTTTGGAAATCAACCAAAACTTGCAAATGCCTTGTTAAATGCACTCCACTTGTCGCTAAACAACCAATTGCAACCTGATTTTAACAAATTGTTGGAGGTGAAAAAAAATGGTATAAGGAATGATAAAGAAACTGCAGAGATATATCGTGCCACGGTGGATTTTCTTGCCATAACCATGATCGCTGAAGCTGCACAACCTACTGATGACTTCAAAAGTCGTTTTCTAAAAGAACTGTCTGAATTAATTAATACAAACCGACGTTTCCCGGTTGGAGATAAAATGCCCAAACTGGCTAAGGAAGGAAGGACCCCAAGCGTTGATCAAAGAACAATTCAGCTCTTGCAAGAAATGCGAGATTCTGGTGAAAACATTAAAAATGTTTTCACGTCAAAAAAGTTTCCTGCAAGAGGGAAAGAAGGAACCCAGATGGCCAGAAATGATGCCCAGAAAAACGGAGAAGAAAGTATACCAGCTTATGCTGTCCATTTTTTGGGGTAAGACATATCGCTGTATAGTAAAGCTGTTACTATTTAACAATTAGACAACGAGTCCGAGTTGTCTATGAGCGAATAGTAAACGAAGGCGAAGCCTGAGTTGAATATTCGCTCATAGACAACGAAGCCGAGTTGTCTAATTGTTTTAGTATACACCCTGTACCTAGATATATTAATTTCGAGAAAATTATCGATACACCGCAATTACACCGAAAAATAATTTCATTAATTCAATTTTATACGGTCGCGCGAGCGAATTTTTCCCAAACGTTCACCATCACGAATAGACAATGGTTGAGTAGCCAATCAGAATGTAAGATTTGTAATAGACAATAGTTGGGTGTATACTATAGTACGGTAGTACCATGCAATCGAGTAATCACATTAACCGGAGTGAGAGGCCGAGAGAATGAGGAAAAAAGAGTGGAACTAGTCTAACTATAAACGCGTACGGTTACTGACATTAACTCACTTTTTTTTTCTTTTTTAGCAAAAAAAATACAATCTGCTACTAGAAGAAGAGTTATTTCAGTGCAGAGCTCATTCAATAAATGTATTTTAAAATAATACGTAATCTAGCTGTGATTAGGTGTATAGAAATTGGGTCTTTTAGAAATTGGGTCTATTGAGTAGGACAATATTAAGTAGGAAAATATTGAAAAAAAAAGGTCTGGAATGAAAACTGATCTCATATAGAGTGGATTAGAAAGAGATATTTTGTGGGTTTGGGCTCGAGTTTTTATGGGAGGGCTTGTATGGGCAGCGGAGGTAAACGGGTTTTGGATAGGGCTGGCTACTGGGAGGTGAATGACATTGGATTGTCTTGCGAAGCCAATGACTTAACATTCAGGAAAACCTCAGAAGTCTGGTGATGTTTAGGAAGGCATGCAGGAATTAAGATTACCTTTCAAAAGAAGAAAACTCAGTACTTTAGTGATTGTAATTCATCGGGATTGTAATCAATTACATCAGATTCCTGGTCGGGTTTCAACATTTTGGTCGCTTAAAGGAAAGCGCATCTAAATTCCTGCTTACTTTGCACATTTTTACACTACACTCCATTTATTGGCACGGCTGCGTGCCCAATATGATTAGTGCTTAGGCTACCAAAACAAAGGCAGGGCACAGGTACCCGTTTTAGCCGTGCCGCACCAATAAATCCAGTGTGATGTAAACGGGGCTTTTATGACAAGTTACTCGGCCTAAATCTGGTGGTCATTTCATCAACATCATCTCAATCAACTTAAATCTGGTGGTATTTTTACTCTTTTCATCAAAATCATCTTAATCGAACTAAATCTGGTGGTATTTTCATCAACAAGATCTTAATCGGCTTATTTCTGGTGATATTTTTATCATCAAGACCAAAGGTGATTTCAAGACCAAAGGTGATTTCTTTGACACGTCATGAAAATATTGTATAAAAAATGTTTACATTTTCTTGAGCTTTTCTTGCAATGCATAAGCTTTCCTTGTTTGTTTTAGTTCAACTTGGTGGAACTGGATGATTCTTCTTGTATTTACTATTAAACGGGATTCTGGTCTTTCTTTTTTAGTTGTGTCTCCGTCGGTTAACATTTGGCAGGTAACAATGTGTCGATTTGTGTGGATTTTCTTTGTTACCTTTCTTCATTTCACTTACTACGGGACACCTGGTGAAAGTGTTTCCCGTCGCTTCAAACGACACGCTTTCGTGGAAATTCGGGGGAAATTCAATCAGTTTTCGCGCAATGCATCAGAGGTACATGATCTTGGATACAAGGAAATCGAAGCAGATGAAACTGGAAAGCTGGATAGCGAAAAACCAGAAACAGAAGATGGAAACAAGCGGTTGTTTCGTAAAAAGCAAGTTAGATTGGAGCATAAAACGCAAGGGAAGAAGAATGAAAT